CCCCCCGTGACCCTGATAAGCAGAAGAGAATGGATGGATATTTAGAGAAGATGATTGTTGTTTAGAGGTTAGATCTGTTTTAGGTGGTTACACACAGATGTTTAGGCACATGTCTGTTTAAAGCCATTCCACCATTTATTAGTTTGCTTCACTGACAGCCATGCTCAGCATACTGTAATGGGTACTTTTTATTGCAACTGCTCTGTTTTTTGACTCGCTCATGCTAGTGCACTGTGATAAACTTTACAGCCACTGAGTGTTTGATAAATGAGAATAATCTTACAGAACCTTGAAACAAAACACAAGCATAGCTTTAAAGGTCAAACATGGGTTTTAATTCCTAAAAGGATGTAGGAACAATAAATATAGATCAATTTATTATTGTAGGGTCTTTAACTTACAGTACAAAGACCTTGAGGCAACTGTTGTTGTGATTTGGTGTTATATAAATAAAATTCAATTGATTTAAATTAAGTTTTTGAAAGCAGTGTAACTTAAGAATGCCTTAGAAGTGTTTTCAGTGCGGTTTACCAGCCAAAAAGATAATTAACAGAAATACTGTTAATGTCAAAGTACGGATATAGTGAAAGACGTCTATATTAACAAATGTTTGCTCCTAAATTTTACATGCTGATAATTTTTGCAAAGTTGTAAAACCAGTGGGGTTTTGGCGCCAGCTCTTGTCTTTGTTCTCATCCTGGGTCGAGTATCTATCACATTTTCCCACGGCTTCTTATATTCCTGTCTGCCAGACACCAATTAGAAACCATGCAGAAATAATCACTGAAGTGTCAGCATTGTTCAGACGATCTTAAAAGCACTGAAAAGCATGCGCTGTGCTGTATGTCACTGTGACCTGCATAGCTTACTGCTGGTCAGCATCTGTGTCGACTCACAAATAGCTTTCTGCTCCGAGCCAAGAGGCATTCATCTTGGTTAACAGATGAATGTGTGTGTGTGTGTGTGTGTGTAATAGAGATTTGTATATGGATAAAGGTGTGGTACTGTGTGGTACTGCTGTTTTGTGAGAGCAGTGTGGGTGTGTATGTGTGGTGGGCCGAGGCTCTTTAAAGCCGGTATTAATGTGGTTTTATTCACTTAAATAAACTTTTGAAATAGAAAATATTTCATTTTGCCTGTGGCTTCATGCTAGCTGAGTGATTTTTACTGTTTCAGAGGGCTGTCTCTGACTTTGTGGCATCTGTGATGGACAGCAGGAGAAATGAAGGGTTGAGGAGTGATGAGGATGATGAGGAAGAGAAAGGAAAGCAGAAAGAAGGGGGGGGAGCAGGATTTGAGGAAGTGGAAGTGTAGGGGAGCTGAGCTGAGACAGGAAGTACAGATTCCTCCCTTCCTATTATTTCGATTTGGAAACTAAACACTAAAACGATAAAGTGCACATCAGTTGTTTGCTCAGTGTGAAAGAGTGAAGGCTGGATAAGACCTGCAGTAGTGCCAGAGACATTGTGTAGAAATATGAGACCACGTATTTCGAATGTGGTTCAGCAACTCTGATTATTCGCCATTGCACTCTCTCAGTATCATAAAGCACTGATGTGTGGTGTTATTATTAGTTTTATTGTTTTAGCACATCATAGCAAATCATTAGTTCCCGTCATAGATGTGTTTTCAGTTTTTTGCATTCAAACATCACACCTGATTGAGAGTGACACAGTGGTTGCACGTGTTGGAAGATCTCCTTCATGGTTCTGCAGATGAGCGTGTGCACTAACGTCTGCTCAACCTACAACCATGAAGGAGGAAGAATTTGAATAGCTGACCCTCTTTAGACTTTGCAACACTTTTTTGGATCAAAGTGATTAGAAATTATAAACAAGAGTCCTTGCAGGAGTTTCTGACACTCTCTAACAACTCCGTATGGAAATGTGGAAGCACGTCGTCACTCATCGTTCATAATGTGATCAATCTGAAATTCATCACAGCTCAAACTTCAAAGACTAGTTGTGCCTGAAGTTGTAGCTCTTACCAGCTATTGCTATAACTATATAACCTGTTTGAAAGTTGCCTTATATGTGAGTATTTTATTCAAGAAATGCATTTGTTTTCTTTTTCCTGACATGAAAAGTTTGCACAGATATGTGCTGCAAAAAATGAAGCTGGAACTACCCGTTGGTGAGATTGCATTAGCCCAAAAACTGCTAGTCTGCCCATTTCTGACTCTTTTCTGCAGAAACACTGTAGGGTAACAACACTATTTTTTATATACCTTTTATGTGTTACAGTATTATTTCTCTCTGCTTTCAGTCTTTTTGCTGTAACCTTGATATTTTGAGCAAATATAACGCTGTTTTCTCAGATTCCTCCTGCATCTCCTCATTAGACACATTACAGGTCTTTAGCATCCGTGGTTTGTTGCTCTAGCTGCAGATATATAAGATGAGACATCCTTTATTTAACTTATATTTGAGACATTCTTGCTGCCAAGAGGTAACCGTCCCTACAGAGTCTGCCTCGTGAGCTTGACAGGATGACATGAGTTGCAGGTTTGTGATCCATGATTTCTGTCCCACCAGGACATTTGTGTTTTGCATTCTGTTCTCCATTTTTAACTCGTGGATTTTGTTTTTGCTTCACCTTGCTACTTAGATTTGGGCTCTGAAAAAGTACATGTGGCAGTTAGGAAGGTATTCTGGTTTTTACACACATGATACCGACACCCTAGCCTGATGCTTCAAGGGTCAACACCAAAGGATAGCTTGTAAGTACATTCGCCATCCCAGCAGCTTTGACAAGATGAAGTTAATGGACAGCCTTGTCTTATTTTGCCTTTTGAAGGACCTCGTAGTGTTTTCTGGTTTTACACTCTTAACAGAACTACATGTTTTCAAACAACTCTTCATTACACAGTTATATCTTTTATATTGTCAGATGTCATCTCCTTCTGTTTTACGTCTGTGTGATGTAATAGGCCACAAACGTCTGCGGTCACATCCACAGCTGTCCAGCCTCACAGCGAGGTGGTTGTCAGAGGACTGACTGACTTGGGTCTCTCATTATGTAAAGTACATCACCCACTATTACTAATCGCATAGACATAAAGATGAATGAATAAGGAGCAGCAAAGGAGCTTGCAGTGCAATGTAAACTCAGTTGCAGTGACTGTCTTCCTGTCTTTGGGATAATCGAGGCAGACAAAGAGCACCTTATACGCGCTCGGCTGTACGGTGTGCGTTTTCCACTGCAGCGGCACAGGATGCAAACTCCCATCCTCCTCGTTTGGTTAGACAGACTGAAATATAACACATTTCATAGACAAGAGCTTTCTGTATCTCTGGGTGTTATCATAAGAAGATATGAGAGGCAGCTGTGTCAAACAGAGCAGGTTTTGTTCTGCCCTTTAAGTCATGTGAAATACGTGACTGGAAGAGTTTCTGTAGCAGCTGCTTGATTATTTTCCTTGATCAACTGTAAAATATTAACCGTTTAAAGCCTGAACCATGAAATTACTGCTAGAAAATTCAATTTTGTTAAAAGAAAATCGAGTGTTTATTGAATCTTCTGACAATTAAAACAACAAACTAGATATTCATTTGCATATGTGTTTTAATTTGTGTCATATTTGCTACATATGGCATTTCTTTTGCAATTTATTACTTAGAAATATATTATATATATTAGATTTTTTTGGTGGGGAAAAAACACACTGATGATGTAGAAGCCTGAAAAACTCACAAAAACTATTTGTATCTAATATGATATGCTAGGTGTTAATGGGTTAATCTTAATTTATATAATAATAATAGTCTCTTTAGAGAAATAGTTTAGCATTTAATACGCTCATTTTTCTGAAGTGTGTTTGCCATCTAAGTTAAGTTTAGTTGCAAGTATATTCTTTGATTATATCATTTCAGATGTGACACTTCCATGTAGTGCAGCTGATTTTGTATGAGGCAAAAACTTTGTGTTTTTGGCCAAATATTTTCCCCAAAAAGCAGAGGCCTGTGCACAAACGAGGAAATCAGCCCCATACATCACCACTGGTGACATCAGTACAGTGGACTCTGTGTTTTGTATTATGGGCTCTCAGTGACAGGGTAATAATGTTACCAGCCAGCACAGAGATTTGCGTGCTATTGCATTTTTAAAATCTGGTGTGTGTACACTTCACATTCATCTTGGACTCTCTGACTTCACTCTGAAGAGGTTTTGAGCTTCTACCGTCATTTAGTAGCACGGTATACTGCAGCACGATGGACACTTGATTTTTGGAGCCAACTTTTCGGGAGTAATGAAACAGTGCTCCTTATGCTTTTACGGTATATTAGTATTATATTAATAATAAAAATAAAGCTGTCATTTATTTTGAAATGTCCAAAATAGGCATTAATTTACCACAAAGACACCGCTTGACTCTGTGCCACAGTCTGAGTCATTCTGCGATCACGCCATTTCTAAATGAACTCGGCTGTATAAAAAACAGCTTCCATGCCGGACACCACATATACCAGTATGTTTACTGTACCAATGCCAGCCAGTTTAGCTACATGGGAGCTGATTGAATTGACTGGAAGACGACTTTATCAGATGTCAGATGTCTTCTCCGGTCTTTAAAAAGACTCTTTACATCTAAACTTGGTTAAAAAGAGCGCTCTTCCTCTCCAGCACCTCTGCATGGTCCTTATTTGACCAGCAAATCCAAATCCAGAGCTTTCTTCCTTTGCAACAGGGATGCAACTAACCGCTGTCTGTCCTGCCGCTCTGTTTGAGAACAGTAAGTTTTGATTTTCTGGATCCTTGTGCTAATAAGCACACCATGCACTGAAACCCCAGGAAAACAGGGTTATATGTATAAGCATATGTAAATGACATGGACATTTTTATTCCCAAAGAGAACAATAAAACACCAAATATACTTGCATTTGCATTTTGGAAACTGTCTGGTGAGGTGTGATGCAGACGAATATCTAAGATCAAACGTGTGGCCATGACAGACCTTCAGAAATCACGTCTCACAGACGTCTGGTACTTGGTGGGTTTAGAGACCACAACAGCAGCAGCTAATAAAACGGTCTGTTTCTTTATCTGTGTTTGCAGCCACGCAGCCAGTTATGACAGTGACCCCAGCACCCCGATGGTATACAGCTGCAGCACGCAGTACCGCATACACACACATGGAGTCTTCAGGGGAATACAGGTAGGAACCCACATTACTGCTTCTCCTGCATGCGCCTAACTCTTTGTCAAGAGGTCACTCTGAGGTCATGTGTTAAGATCAGAGCGTAGCCACATGCTTGACGATACTGAAAAACACCTGAGGTCACTTTGATAAACGGAAGAGCAAAAACAGACGATTGAGCCAGAGCGTATTTTTCTAATGGGTGGAATCAAGAAGATGAGTGGTGGAGAGTCTGATGCAATGAACAGGCTACGTGAAGAGGACTGATATGCAGCAGAGCACAGATTTACAAACCCATACACACAAATACCTGCGCGTACACACACACACACACACACACACACACATTCAGGGGCTCTTATAAGGCGACTTTAAAAGTCAAGAGGAATCTTTTTCCACAAATCCATTAGCAGTGGAGAAACACACACTCAGGGTTACGCTGGGTAACGATGCAGTTTCCATGCAGGGATCAGCATGTTAATAAATCATTAGATTTTAATTATTGTCTGTCAGCTGCTCTAAAGGACAGGGAGCAGGAGATTCTCCAGACCTGCTCTTAGTCCACAACAGGACTTTTTGAGATCTTTCTTTCTGGGGCCTGCTTCATTACTCACTCTGTTCCTTTTCCTTCTCTGAGATCTTGCTCGGTACAAAAGAATAAACAATATCTCACTCCTGTTCCTTTTTAAAGTATAATTTAAGAGCTGCTAAAAAGTGAGATAACAGATTGAGCAGCAAAATGATGCTTTGCTCCATATTTTTATTACAGGGATTACACTAATTCCCAGTCACTGCCAAAGGAAATACAGATGACAGCCGTGGAATTTCACTCTTCATTAATATTACCTCATGGCCTGCAGTCATTATTACACAGAGTGTTAAAAACTAAAGCCTCTGATCAGCTAACTATAACACTTTAGTCTCACAAAGTCGTTGTTGTTGGTCTCACATTAAATCAGCTAAACAGACCTTCAGCAAACACGTTACTTCTTAGATCTGGGTTATTTCGTATGGAGGCCCAGTGTGGTCAAAATTAATTAAACGGATATGTCATTTTAGATCACATTTTTTAAAGTAATATACATGACTTAAATGGTAGAAAGACACCTAGAATAATAATATTTAATTATCAATATTTGAAGAAAATAGTTTTTTTATGCTGATATTTGTGTATTTTTTTCATGCTCTTCTATTGCATAAAAGTTTTTCTTGGCAGTTTACCTTTTAATCAGCCATGTCCTCTACATCTCTGAAGATTTAACAATATCTACCCAATGTAAGCAGGTAACTCCTTTGAGCCACAGCAAAAACGTTTACCAAAGTTAATGAGGCTACTGCTGTAAATAAACCCACTGCACAGACAGCTTAAACTGTCTAGCTGTGTAACTCGCTATGCAGGGTTGTGAGACTAAATTATAACCCGAAATAAAAATGAAGAATCAGATCTGTAATTCTTAATCCTAAATGTTCATCATCTCAGTGCAGAATCATAAAATGCTGTCAGATTTCATCGAACAAATGTATTTAGTGCTGTATGTTTAACCATATACATATTTTTTAAAGCATTTATCCAATATTAAACGCATCAGGACTCCCTACATTAACACATAATAAACTATCAGTGCAAAGAGTTTGTATTGTGTGTCACACACTGTGGATTCTGATCAGTTTACAGCTCATGGTTGCCTCGATGTTCACATGGGCACGGTAGGTGACTCTTAACAGCTCTAATGTTAACAGTTCTAATTAGAACAGGGCTGACCTCTTAATCGCTGGTCATTATGCTAAACGCTGAGGAAATGAAGAGCAGATGCTGCAAACAGGGGAGGAGGAGGAGAGATGGGAGGCAGTGTGGAGGGAAAGAGGGAGAAAAGAGAAAGTGATAAAGGGAAGAATGAGGTGGAGGGGTGTAAAGTGGAAACAGAAGACGGACGGCTAAAGGAAACATGAAGAGTGTGTACTACCGTGTCAATGTAGATTAAATAACCAGCAGGTGAAATGAAACGCCAAGACGTCTGGTAGTGTAAATAAATGTAAACACTGAATTTGTCCCTTTGGCCACGTGTGTTTTCCTGTTTTCTCCTCCGGCTGTGAGCGATGCAGTGGGGGGCACTGTTAGGGGGTCGGTCTAAAAAGCGTGACTAACGGCTCCCTTTGGGCTGCACTCAGCCTGGGGTCATTTTACTGCTAATTCCCATCTAATGAATATATGACCATTTCATCATAATGAACCCCAACATGGAGATCTCATGCACTCATTTACATGCAGGACAGATTTAATTGCCTGTTTTCTAAATGTAATTTAGAAAACAGGCAATTTTTTTTTTTGCTTCGGCTATTGATGTCCTGGGAGAGTTTTTGTTCATTCTGCATTAGCAGTTAGCTAAAGTTTGTGTGTGTGTGTGTGTGTGTGTGTGTGTGTGTGTGTGTGTGTGTGTGTGTGGGTGGGTGCAGGACGTGCGGCGGGTGCCCAGCATCGCTCCAGCCATCGTGCGGTCAGAAAGCAGCGAGAAGCGCCCGTTCATGTGCGCCTACCCAGGATGCAACAAGCGCTACTTCAAGCTCTCCCATCTGCAGATGCACAGCCGCAAACACACAGGTGAAGACGCACGCTCTGCTGACACATTCATCACATGACTGCCGACAGCAGCGGCGTTCTGCACGCATTTCCCAGCAGTGCTGTTAACTTCAATAAAGGCTTTCTACTTCGCTTAAGTTTTTTGAGCTTCAGGAGGACAAACTTCTTCAAATGAAGTTTCCATTGGCTCTGATTTCCGTGTCTCCTCTTGCCAGGAAATATTTCCTGTTTGGTGAAATATAGAGAAAGAGATTTTCAGTTGGGTCTGTTGCACAGAAAAGAACCTTTCACTGTGGTGATTTTATTTTCAATGACTCAAAAGTCAAAAACAAAGCCAAACGTGCATGCACTAACAGATGTGAGCCCTTCAGATTTTATATATAATCTCTAAATTACCTAAAACTTTAGAACATGTCACTGTGCATACTCTCAGAATAGCACTAGTTAAAAATAATCAGTGTTATTCTGAGTATATGATTTTTTTGTTATTATAAACAATAAAACAGCCATAATGAGACCATTAATCTCTTCAATACTAATCATTATTATTATTTATTTTTACAAAGTGTGTTTGAAAATGTATTAAAAAAATGTTGTCCACAACTTACCCTGATATAAATCTTAAAAGCTTTGCTTTTTGCGTTGTGGTTACCTTTGCACACACATTTTATAGCTTAAATAATTATTTTGTTAATTACCCATTAATACATTTTTTAATCGTGTTCTTACTTACTCATTTAGTCTGTTGAATTTCAGGAAATACCCAGAGCCCAAGGTGATCTTTATATGCTGTATGTAGTCGGGTCAAAAGTTTGATCAGAACCAGCAAATTTATTCCTTAATTCTTTTCCCTCAATTTCATCTGATCCTGATTTTTTATTTATCAAGTTATTGACTCTTTTATTGGTTTCTTTTGTTGTTTATTTGCTTGTTTGTTTAATTGCTTATGTGGTTAAATATTGTTGTTCTGCTTTCATGTCAGGCAGCTGCCTGGATCTTTTGCTGCTACCTCTCATTCATTCAGTGTGACTGAACAGTGACTGCGACTATGCAAAATCATATTTTGAGCAACGCGTTTTAATTGGATTGTATTTTTTTTTTTTGAAATATGAGTGTTGGTGTTCCTGCATGACTGATCACGTTGCAACAATCAGGTTCAAAGCTGCTGCACAATGTTCTGGACGGGCTGATAAACTGGCCTGTTGGTTTCATCTGTACAGATCCTTGCTTTTTCCATCACTGCAAGAGTGACCAGCTGTGAGTATGTGATAAAATAAGTTGAAAGGATGTCTAAATTAATCCTCTGTGTTCTTTTTCTTGTCTCTGTCCAGGGGAGAAACCCTACCAGTGTGAGTTCACAGACTGTGGCCGCAGATTTTCGCGCTCTGACCAGCTTAAAAGACACCAGAGGAGGCACACAGGTTTGACCGGTTTTACTCCCGCGGGCTGTCTGACTTCATTTTTTATTTCTTCCTGGCCTTTTGCTCTCTCCCTCTCTCTTCTCGCTCTCCTCTGCTTTTTGCATGACAGCTTTGTTTTTGTTTTGTTTATTTTTAAAGACAGTGCCGTCTTTAAAGTTTTGTGTTCATTGGTGCACTGTACTGAACTCACTTCAGATGAAGTTGCTAAATGCTGGCCAAACTTTGGAATGGCTTCTCTGCAAGCCTTTGCTCTACTGTATTTCTCTATCTCCCTCTGTGTGTGTGTGTGTGTGATGTTGAATGTGTGTTTTCCGTATGTGTTTATGTGAACTCGTGCTGAATGCGTGTGCATGCTTACTGTACATGTGTTTAGGAGTAAAACCGTTCCAATGCGAGACGTGTCAGAGAAAGTTCTCTCGGTCTGACCACCTTAAGACACACACACGGACTCATACAGGTAAAACAAGTGCGTAAACTTTTATTTTTTCATTTCTTCTTCATCCATTTAATATTTATATACATGTATATTATAGCTGAAAATGTTCATTTTAATTCCTATGAAATAAAAATAATGTTAATAGACTGGTGCTACTATGCATGAAGAGATATAGCAGCAAAATATTCGAAGAAATCCCTGATTTTAAATCCCTCTGGTGCTAATTCTCCCCCTCCTGTCGTTGCCTCACCGTCCTCCACCCACCTCTCTCTCAGGTGAGAAGCCGTTTAACTGCCGGTGGCCTAACTGTCAGAAGAAGTTTGCCCGAAGCGACGAGCTGGTACGACACCACAATATGCACCAGAGGAACCTCACCAAGCTCCAGCTGTCCATCTGAGTGTGTCTCTGCAGCCCGTTTCCAAGACTAAAATATTAACATGTTATTTTGCTTAGCCCAAAACAAAAAAGCCTCCGTGGGAGTCTTAATCTGACATTTAGGACTTAAATTTTACGAGCTACACACCACAGTCTGCACTCTGAGGTGAAATGCAAATCTGTCTAAAATCAAGGAGAATTCTGACAAAGGGGATGTAGTCTTGGAAACTGCAGTATATTACTTAGTTCATCAGTTCAGTTGATCTCAAGGCCAGCTCAGATCAGCTCATACCTTCCTTACCCATTCAGCTGACTCTCTCATTTAAGCTCTCCACTTGCAACATACCTATAACTGTGCTTCACCTTTTATGCTGTATCTGACTTAAGCATCTCATCTTCGTTCTTAAAACCTGCTGTGTCCTGTGAGCATGAAATAGGGAGGTGTCTCAGAACAGTGCCATGCTTCTTATATAAATCACTGCTGATGGAAATGATAATCTTCTTTTACTGACATGTGTTTTTGCTTCTGTCAAGAAATGCAAAAAAATCCAAAAACAAAATCATCAATGTGTGAAAATCGCAGCGACCTCCCCAAACACCCTCGTGCAGAGTTGCTATGTCATCTGGTAAGATGCTACTTTGGCCAGTCATAGTCCTGGTAGAGTACTCAATGGTTATTTCCCACTGAGGTTTTTTATCTTAAACAAAGTACTTCAAACACGCTGTTTTCACCAGCACGTCTACATATTTTCATGCTCTCTCTATATTATCATTTCTGCAATATATCTATGTTATTCTGAGCTCCAAACTCCCAACATTTGGCCATGTATGTTTTCTTTAAGGTGGAATAACTTCCTAAAACACCTGAGTATTAGCAGGTTTTTCTCAAACAGCAATACGTAGTTCTCAGACTGATGTCTGCTGAGGATCTGGCTCAGCAGCGAGTGTATGAAATTAAATTACTAAAAAATAAAGAAATCTCTGTATGTCGATCTACGCATAGCTTGACAGCTGCTTTCTGTGATAATTTGCAGTGTCACGTTTGAGGTTGTTTGGATGTTTCAGCCTCATATATTAGCTAAAAGTTGCTGCCTGCTCCACTCGGTGTCTAAAGAGGAGGTCCACATATACATGGCTAACATAAATCTAATCCAAAGCCCTTTTACCTCCAGCCTTCACAGTCAAGTACCAAACCCTTGCCCTAATTCTAACTATACCTCTAAAACTCGGACTCAGAAAAAGTGTGAACGGTGCAAAAAAATAAAAATCCTTCATCACACTGTTGGTCTTAAAATGCTTCTCACAAAGATAGCTCTATTTTCTATGGTTTCCAGTCACAGATGACTTCTGTGTTTGGAGGAGGAGCTCCAACCTGCCACACTCACTCACACACACACACACACACCTTCAGCGAGTGTATCCTTGTAGCTGTTCTCAGTAACTTCATGGCTGTGACGCCTTTAGGGGACGTTTGTAAACTGTAGCCATAAAAAAATAACCCGTGTTGCACTCTCTCCAAACGGGCGCTAATTATGGCACATGCTAGTCAGTGCAATGCTGGTATTTTTAATTATTGTAGCCTAATTATTGTGACACAGAGGAGTAATGTTTGAGTGCAGCCTGCTTCCCCAGATGATGGTGTTTTTTATGGGATTTGTTGACAGTAAATAACATACATAATCAGTTTTATATAGATTCTCTGTACCCATGTTTCAGGAGAACCAAGAAGAGATAACAAAAACAAAAAGCTTCACCTGATAGTTTTGCTTGAAAGTAAAACGTGTTTCCACCTGCATAAAATATCATTTCAGGCAAACATTGGGTGTAAATGTTCTAAAAATGTATGCAAATCTTTCATTTTACATTTCCATGGCCAGGATGTGTTCCAGAGGACGCCAGATCTTAACTGTTCAATGCTGCAGAGTGAGGTCAAAGGTTATAGTCAGCGGCCTACAAACCTACAGCTTAGCGCCTTTTCAGCTGTTGTAAATATTTCTTTTGCAAAACTACTTTAAGAAGGCGCACATGTTACCATTTTGCATATAAAACCTGCTTTCACTGGACGGATTAAATGCAGAGAGAGATATTTTTTTTAATCGTCCTTTTAACAATAAGCTGCTTTTAATCTGAAAGAATCAAATCAAGAGAATAACTTGCAGCTTTGCAGCACTCGCTCTGTGAAAGCTTTTGGTGTTTTGTCTGGTCTGCATAAAATATCTCGTTGCCACAAACATGACTTTACGGCTGTATTTAAAAAGCTGAACTTTTTTGTTGTTGTTGTTGTTGATTAATGTGACTTTTTTTTTCTTGGAGCTCAGTTGTCTCTTGTCCCTGTGGTGTGTAAATATTGCTGGACTTTGGCAGTGTTTTCAGCACTGCGAGCTTTAAAATATGTCTGCCGGGTCACACTGGCTCTGTGGCCGAGACATTATGGTCAAGATGTAAATAATACTTCTTCATCATGGGAACTGAACTGTTTTCATAGGGGGAAAGATGTAAATTAACTGATATATATTAGACTTCTCTTTGGATGAATCGAGAAACTGTTTATATTTTTCTTTCTTTTCTTTGAAGTGTATTAATATTGGAGTCATAAAACAGAAAATGTCAGTGAAACATTTTGTACTCAAAGTGTGAGATTGAAAATTTCTCTCTGTTTAAATGTCTTGTGACTGTTTTGATACAGTAAGATTTGGCCTCTGTGGTTGTTTTTTGTCATTTTGTGTCCAGTTTCTGCTGTGGTATTATCTCACAGAGAATAATCTACAAGTCTTTTTTTTTAAAACATTAGATAACAGAAAATAAGTTGTAGAAAGACCCAAAAGACTTAAAGTGAAATATGTGCAAAATCTAAGACTATACATTAGCTGACCTTGACCGGGGTTTCCTCCCAGAGCACACAAGAGACCTGTTTCTTCTTCCCTACATACATCCTGCCCTGTTTGTGGCTAAAACAACACTTTTTAACTTAAAATTTAATGAATGAAACATTATGGAGTGTACGCGCTCCAGCTGACGCAGACTTGCACAATAAGAAAACACACACACAGTACAGTACAGTACCATCCACCTTCCTTTCTTTATCTCTCACCAGATTCCTGGTTGCATTCCTTGACTCTCAGTGAAAAAAAGAAGAAGCAGCCAGATAAAGATGGACGTGTTTTCTTTCAGCCCCTCTCTCCTGCTGCTTTGCTTCCACTCCTCTCATTCTTCCTCGTGCACCATTAGCTTCACTTTTAGGTCAAAAGACATTCTTTTGTTCTTTTTTTTTTTGGTATTATTATTATTATTATTATTTATTATTATTTAAGAAAGACGACAGTCCTCAACAGTCACATGAAAAAAACAACAACATGGAGGAAAAAGCAGACAGATGAGTGTAGAGACGGATAATGACAGAGTAATGCTGCTTCCTTTGTGAACTTTTATCACAAGTTTAGCCAAAGTGTTAGAGTAAATCAGACAACGTGTCCGATTCCCTCGGTGGAAATCCCCTGAAACTCCCCAGGGCTCTTGTGCTATATCTCAGCTGTCGGACGAGACCTACATCTCTCATCTCTCCTTCTACCCTTACTGTGTGTGTGTGTGTGTGTGTGAGTGTGTGTGTTCGTTCATGCCGCTAAGGCCCTTTGAAGTAACAAAGCTGGTCAGTGTAACAACTTGTGTCCACTTGCAGTAGCCACATTCGATGCTATATCTAAATGTCCTAGCAAAAAACAGGGATCGGGCCCATTAGAGGTGGAGAAGAAAAACATGCCTCGCGGTGCTTCTCAAACGTAAAGCGCTTTACCTTTTAGCTCCTTAATGGCAAACACGTCTTTACTCAGTTTGAGCTAATGTTCTGCTCAGTGTCAAGCAATGAGTTGCTTCTGAGGTCAAGTCAACCAGTTTTTTATGCTAGTTTTGATTTTAGGGTGCAAAAACTGTTCTAGTTTAATTTCACTGCTCTCTGACTGCCACCGCCTGTAGAGCTGCCGCAGACTGATGCTTTTAACTGAAAAAGAAAAAAGATAAACTATTTGTTTTATATATATCCAGAGTAATCAAAGAGTCAGATATTTTAATCTAGAAGTTGTATTAGTCCAAGCTATTTAGGTGCTGTATTGTGGAGATGTAAATGTTTTGCGTTAGAGCATTAGTCATGGCACAACGAGTCTCTTCGTCCTTTTGGACAACTGTAGTCCCTGCAATGACCACATCAGGCTTCAAGAAAACATAGAAAACGTATAAAAGATGGATGTTTTTGATTCACTGAAAAGTGAGTCAAACACGGATCTTCCTGGTTGCAGACTTTTGTAGACATTCTCCTGATGAGTTTGTTGTCTCAGATCTTAATGAATAAAACATTAAATCTACTTTTTACATTTTGGTCATTCTACATTTTATAAAGGATGATTTTCCAGGGAACACTCATTGGCTAGCAGCTTGTCTGTCCCAAGTTCTTGGCCAATGAGTGACAATGAGAACAAAATGCAGCCGACGTCTCTGTAGCTGATTTCTTCTGCACAGGGTGTAAATGGGACGTCACCAGATCTACCATTAGTATTAGCTGGTAACACTGCAAACTCTGCCCTTTTATTCAAATGTGGTAGTTCTTCTTTTCTTCTTTTATATATTTTTAAACATCACAGTAGCTACATCCATCTTTTATATACAGTCTATGGCTTAAATCAGCATTGTTTAGAAAAACATCACATACTGGAGGATACAAAGGTTAAAGGTGTTATGGATGAGTGATCTTACACATTAGTAGAAATACCCTGATCTCATGAAATGTTTTGCCCTTTAATATCAGCAAAAACACAAGTGGAAATAATAACTTTCATGATGGCAAAGTTCCATTTAGTTTCCAAATAAGCAATTCACCCTCTTGAATAAGGTTATGAGGTTTTATGTGTCAGGACATCTGGTCCTTAGCAGGAAGATTAGGTAGAATACAACGTCAGATTGACTACAAAACATGACATATTACTGTGTATCATTATTTATTTAAAAAATATTAAGCCAAAACGCAGATGCAGTGTGTGGAAAACTAAGTACACACTTACTACTTTTAATTCCTTTTAGGAATTAAAAGGCTGAGTAGCAGCCATGTGCATGTTTATAGAGGCGCTTGCATCAGCAAGTGTGAGCGCCTCTATAAAACCAGAGCTTTCAGCTGTGTATCAACACAATGCCACAGTCTTCCTAAGAGTGGCTGTTCTAGCAAATTCACCCCAAGGTCAGACCGTCCAATACTCAGAAAAACTTAACCCCCCCCCCCAAAAAAAACCAGGAGCTACATCTCAGACTCTACAAACCTCAGTTAGCAACGGTTAAAGTTCATAAAAGCACAATTAGAAGAAAACTGAACAAGTATGGCTTATTTGGTAGGGTTGCAAGGAGAAAGCATCTTCCCTAAAAATAACACAGCTTAGGTTTGCAAACTTTCATCTGAACAAACAGACAGATGAAACCAAAGTGGAGATGTCTGGCTATAATGCACAGCGGCATATTTGAAAAAAACCAAACACAGCATATCAGCACAAACACCTCAAACCGAGTGTCAGGCACAGTGGTGGAGTGGTGATGATTTGGGCTTGTTTTGAAGACACAGGACCTGGATACCTCGCAGTTATTGAGTTGAACATGAACTTCTCTGTGCACCAAATTATTTACCTAATTTTCAGAGCTGGTAAGGACGAGATAATCTTTTATTAGGTCCTGATATGTAAAACTTTAGGATTGACACATTTACATATTACATAAATATCTTCCCCCCCCCCCCTTCTTTTTCTTTCCAGAAAAAAAACCATAAAATATTTCAGAACTTTATTGCCAAGTGCACGAGAATATTTGAGCATTTTGCAAATCCAATTTGAATCTCACTTTAAAATTATGACTTCTTCTGTTTGTCCTAAATAGCATACCATTGATCTCATTTAAAACATCGGGTGCATACATGAGGACCCTGCTTGTGATAAAGTGTTGAGAAAGTAAACTTTTGCCCTCTTTTGAGTTAATCCAGTCATGGTGCTGACAGTGCACTGATTGTCTTATTCTCGGCCCCGTGGGTCTTTCTCACTTAAGAAAATTGTTTTTAAATCATATTTCGTGTCTGAAGATAAGAGCGGAGAGCAGCGCTTATTCTGGAGCTGAATAAAAAAGAAGCAGAAATGTTGTGAAAGAAACAGAAAGAAGAAAGAAAGCGGGAGTAAGAGGAAAAATAGGACAAATAGCATCCTCTGCGGTCATGTTGCTCTGTATTTTGTGGAAGCAAAGAAGCAGAGACGATACCGTAACTGTTTAGGTCCTGGTACGGCTCAGCACAGCCCTGAAAAGCACACGTGTACATACACACAGACGCACACACATGCGTGCATGCACACAGTACTGGAAGTACTCAGTGCAGTTTGTTTCTCAAGAGGCTGCACTCCTTCACTTACTGTCAGAGATTCAAGTTGCTTCAGGAGGATAAAAATCCTGACATGAGTACAGCAAAGCTGCAGGCACAGGAGAGATGAATATCAAAAAGTGCAGCGTAAGTGCTGAATAAACAGGAGAAAAACAGTCACTTATCACGCCGTTGCTACTTGTCTTATTGTTTTGCACGCTGGTGAATTTTAGCGTGTTCATTTCTACATTAATAATGACTTCATGAAGTGATGTTTGTCAGATTCTACCAGCAGATCTACTCTGTCTTTTACATTTTGTGCCTCTGGGTAGGATTTAAAGGGGAATCTGTTTTATTGCTTCATGGCACAAAACAGGAAGAAGATGATGTTCCTCCAGCTCAGACTGAGCTAAAGCTTTTGACAGTTTCTGGCAGTGGTCGTCCAGAGGAGTAAAATCACTTCCAGCTTGGTTATCCTCTCCAGTGAAGCCAAGTGAACAACAAAGTCGTTTCAAGAAATGGTGTAAACAAGAAATGGACTGCAGTCTAGGCTGACTAAGAGGGTCAAAATTTTGAGATTTTTGTCTTTAAAGCTGGTGAAATGCATTATTTTTGTTTTATATATATTTCTTTATAAACTGAAGAGAAATGTTAAAGTTGGTATGTGTATTACTCAAAAAAAAATCAAGTTGTTGTTTTTTGCACATAGACTGTATATAGAAGAATAATGTAGCCACCATAACATCACAAGTTAGTCTGGACTCACAGCCATTATATTAGCGAAATGACCATATTTAGACCAGAAGAAGGGGTTTTAAGATTTCAGCTATTGCTTGCTAGCTTGGTTATCAAGGTGTATTGATTGCTGTGTATGGATGTAACACAAGACAATACATCTGATTGAGAATATTTTTTAGCACCCTGGATTTAGCACCTAAATCCACATATTAAAAATCACCTCACTTGATTTAACCCTGGAGAACCCATGGGGTCCAAGCCGACCCCATGGGTTTTCTAGGGAAACCATGGGGTCAAATTTGACCCCATGGTTTCTCCAGGGTTAATCATTTAAGTGTAAAAGTTTAAGCAATGCAACCCAAAAAGCACAGTCACAGACTAAAAAAATAATAACAGGTAGAAGTCAAAACCCCTTATCACCAAGTAGCTCTGACAAACTTCAGCAAAGTGAAGTAATAATGGGCGTTATGTGCAACCCTCAGCTGCTTTTTAGTGGCGACTCACCAAAGGTGGAGCACAAACTTCTTGGACAGGCTGGACCTCACAGCATGCCATTAAAATGCACCTAAAGGCACCAGCAACACAAACACTGTGGAGAGAGGCTGTTCAGTCACTCAGATTAACCGAGATCATGTTTCGCAGATAGCTAGCAGCTTCAATGGTCTTTGGGAGGACATCTGCCAATCAAAGTAAGCCACATCCCCAACTTTAAGCATAAAAACAAAATCCACACGGATCTAAAACTGTTTTCTGAACATGTTGTTTTTTATAGCTGAACCATTTTATCATGGGAGTCTATGGAACCAGCCATAAGTGTGCAACTTGTTTCATTTGGCTTTCCTGGTGGTTCCCATTTAATTTTTCAAGCATGCAAACCAGCTTTCCTGTCCAGGCTATCTGATCCACAACCCTTTGCACCAGTTACATGTACAGCAAGAAGTTCACTGAAAATAAAATGAAAATAGATCAAATTCCTTTCATTTAGAAGCATACAAATACATTTCAATACATAAAGAAATAATACGTTAAGAGGTATTTGGTGTCTTTGACTTTCTGCAATTGCACACACAATTTGCATAAACTTATGCAAATTGTGCAACTTATGGAATAACTGGAAAAATACTCATGTTGTCTATAAATAAATAAAGAATATTTAATATTTATAGATACTATTAGAGAATATTACATTCTTTGCTGAGAGCGGGAGTTTCAGTAGAGGGATGTGATGCAGTGACGCTGTCCACGAACACCTGAATTCCCTCTTTGTTGTCAGCTACTTTGGAACATGTATCTCTTTAAGACACTGTAAAGATTAAAAAAACAAAAAAAACAAAAACATGCTCTGAGCCACCGTCAGTGGATCTTTTTCCTATAAGGAAATGAATTCCAAGATAGCTTGTGCCCTCTGTCTCAGTGTGAGCATTTTCCAAAGCTAACATTTCAGATGGGGTTTGTTGTTTTTAAAGCGAATAATGTCCTCAAGATAACCTTTTGCATTTTTAGCTTCCACTGGGCTAAACAGAAGCACATTGATCTTGGCTCTTTCTGTCAGTTTTTCACCTTTTAGTCAGCATTTTATCAGATTTATCTCCTCAGTCTTTTCTTGGAAACAAATAAGTCACTTTGTAAAAGTGACAGATGCTTCATGAGTTTCAGGAAGGTCAAGGCCAAGTAACATTTTGAAAGTGTGCGTTTGTGTTTGTTGGTATCTCTGCGTTCAATGTGTGGACATTGGAGGAACTCTACCTCCCCCTTGTGGTTGATCAATGTCATTGTTTCTTTTTAGGCTGAAACCATCTGAATGTAACACGTCTGAGTGGATCATAAGGCTATTGTGGTCCCTTTAATGATGTGCGGATATGTCTAGAGTTCTGTATATTAACATTTACGGTTTTCACTACTTTTTCAATGTGTTTTTAAAGGATCATTTAAAGTCTAGTAGCATTCCCAAATACTTAAATTCCTCAACATTAACTAGTTCTTGTGCACCCAAGCAAACTTTTACTGCAGCCACAGTTGTTTTAGGTTTACTAAAAAACAAGGATACAGTCTTTTTTACATTAAGGCACGAGTCATTCAGCCATTTTTGTAAATCATGTAATGCCAATGAAAGCTGATGGGCTGCATCATCAGCAGTTTTGGCCACTTAATTTCAGAATTTAAGAAACAATGCATGTGACTGAGGCCTGATATCAGCTTGGCATCCTTTCATCTCTCTAGCCTTTTTGTTAATTATGCCTTACTAAAAACGTTTACAACAGAAAGCACAATCTGTGATTAGACATTGAAACAGATGTTTACTCCCCTGATGTTCCTGCGTTCTAAAAAAGAAATTCCATTATGATTTATGTGGATGTATTGTGCAGGTACTTTCGCTGCTTCGCCCTCTTTGCTTGCTTTATCTGAGAACATAATCTGTCTTCTTTTAACTTGAGGATTTGTGTAAATCTGGCATACAATCCAAGTGTTGTCTGCCCCAGATTGAGAGTTAAAGTTTGAGTCACTGACAGTAGTGCTTTTGTCTGAATTTGTCTGTTTGACTGATAATGGACAAGCTGTTTGAAAATATGATGTGAAATCACTTAATTAACCTGCTGGATTTGCTAAAAGTTAAAATATTTATACTACTCTGGCTAATGGGTTTTGCACATCACTCTTAACTTATTAAGTGGCTATTAGTGAGGGTCATGATAATCAGTTCAGTTGAGTAATGGGTTGATTAAGTCTATTTCCAGACTAAGAGAAAAAGTCAGTGAACACATCTGTAGGTTTGGGTGTAGGCTTAATCCATTTCTGAGAAAACTAAAAAGCAGAAGTGGTTATGGAGCTTCACTGACGTCTGATTTGGATTTATCCAAATACAAGTAATTTTCAGTC